CGTTTGCTCCTGAATTTCTTACTTGCTGCTGCACTCTGCTACATTCCTTCCGCGCGGCGCCTCGCTCGCCGCGACGCGACGATTTCGTTCGTACTGCACCGCACCCACTTTAGGACATATTCCCTATAAATAATTAGTGTGATGGCGATTACCTATCCTAGTCAGATATGTACTGAAGACAGTAGAAGGTCTGGCGTTCCCTATTATCATCCTGCCTGGGCGAAATTGACACCTAACACACGCCAGTGAGTTTTTGCACACTTCCATTAGTTCATTTCGTGGTGTTTCAATAATGATAAAGGGCAAATTTGTTAAGAGATCTCACTAATTTCTTTATAAAGACGATTTTCGTCTTATTCCAAAAAGGCACGAATTTTTCTTTGAAACTTTCCAGCTGCACCTAATCTTTCTAGTCTGTACAGCATCTACTTTCGTGGAAATTCCTTTTGCTTTTTATATTATCTTATCATTTCATGGATGCGATTTGACGAGGCTCTTGAGGAATGCTAATGACGATAAGCAGAGGGGAAAGAAGGACAAAAACTGTTGGATGATAGCGGGCGCATGACTTCGCATTCTTCTACGTCATTACGAATCTGTGATTTGTTGAGGGGCGCTAATCGGTTGGTGTTGATAACAGCTCTCATTGCTGACATTACGTGGCATTACTTAGATACAGTTCACGACAAAAATGGTATCTAAGATATCCTTCAGGGTAAACCTGTGGCACCAGTATACGATACGTGGTGCTGTCAGAACGGTTAAAGGCCCAGATAGGATGTTACAAGGGCCCAAAGATGTTCTCAGCTGTATGGATGTTATAGAGGCCGTACTAATCAAAAGAAACGCCTATGTTAACAATTCAAACAACTTGCTATGATCCATGGTCACAGTGAATGCAGTTCCGGACAATTCTGGCTCGACCTAATCAGCAATTTACGCAACTCCATTCAATAAATTCTCATCCAAATATCCATTTCATGCCGATTCGGTCATGGTGATATCGTGTAACATCTATTTCCACTACTTTAGGAACCTCATTTCGCACAGACAGCGGATTTTCTCGCTTTCTTCGTCACTGATCAACACTAACAGTTTAGCTTTTCTACTTGAAAAGGGTACTTCAAAATCATTGTGAATTGCTCATCTAGGTTTTGATTGCCCAGTATTCGGTCATCCTGAAGAACTCTGGATCATGGACCTCAAGGTGCGAGCGAATCTGTCCATCATAGAGAGAGCGACCAAATGGCAGTTTCCTCTTGAAAAGTGCCATGCCACAGTAGCCGAAGTCATTCGTCTATCCTCTTTCCTTGTTAGGAGTCCCGAAAACTCAGGCTTCGCTCCATTGATGTGATGTAGAACGTCTTTGCCTTATACATTGTTCAGACGTAGAGGTTGTGTCTAACTTCCTTCCCTGTTTCAACGTTCGACCCAGAAGAGGGTGCTGAACTGATGCCTGGGTGGATACCAATACCCTTTCTAGGAATTTCGTTGAAGTCCAGGTTCTCTTGTATAATTGAGAGCTAGCAACTCATATGCCAGTGAGATCATTCCTCTAGTTATGCTGGCTGTCGAGATACTCGTTATCGTCTTTGATATGACTTCCTTCGAAAGCACACGGGTACTGCTCGAGAAGTGCTCACTGCAGGCCTCTTTGGACTGGAGAAGTGCCCAGTGCCCATCACTTCGATCTCTAAAACATCGGTGATATCGGATCATCTTGTCATTTTGAATGGTATCACCTTGCTCTTTCAGTACTCCTGAACCTTTACCTTAACTCCACCATGTCCAATGCCTTACCGTAGTCAATGAAGGTCATCACGAGTGGAAGATGGAAATGATATTTACGGTGTATTTCTACGAAACCACGTCAAATTGCGACTTCCGAAGTTCCGACGATTGCCTTTGTTTCATAGATTGGGCGTTCTTCAGCACCCTGCAGATTCTCATAATATTACGCTTCTGTCAGTATACCACGAATGGACACAATGAAATACTGCCAGGCTCGTAATATTACGATATTTCGCTAAGTCCTCTGTCGTCTTTCCCAAACATAAGCACTGCTGAGGATATCTCCTGCAAAATCTAGTGTCTTGGTTGAAAAAGGCTGCTTATTTATCGTATGTCACATAGTTATCATCGTTTGTTCAAGGTTATCAATTGGGAATACGATTTCTGCGCCCTCCTACATTTCTACGGTTGTTTCTGAATGGCTGCTTTCATAGTCCGCCGGCCGGCCGGCGTGCCGGCGCGCGTGCCGGCGGAGGCAGTGCTAGGGGGGAGGAGGGAGGCAGACAGTGTAAGGCAAACAGTCCACGCCCCTTCGAAGGTTGTTTGTTTTCAACCCCTCGAAGGGGCGTGGACTGTTTGCCTATCCGTCTGCCTCCCTCCTCCCCGCTAGCACTGCCTCCACGCCGGCACGCCGGCCGGCGGACTATGAAAGCAGCCAATCATTTTGAGTTATTTGCTCACTTGAACAGTCCTGACAACTGGGAGCGCCCTACTTCATTTCCAAGCATGTCGATCATCTGCATGAATCCAATTCGAATACTCTCAGCGCATTTTTTGTCGACCTTTTGGATCTCCTTCTCAGCAAACTGTGTTGCTTCTGAAACAAGAGATATTAAACTTACTTTCAAGGAAATCGTCAGTCTTTATAATATCAGATAAAATTCATGTGTTTGGAATGACTTTATTGTTTCAATGGAAAGAGCAGTTGCTCTGGAAATCAGCGGACTTCGATACAGCCCTCGTTTTTGGATTGACTATCTAACACCAATTTGAAAATCACTGAGCACCGTTGCACAGTTAAACAGTACCATTTCTGATGATGATTTCCTCCGGTGGCGGATGTTTAAACAGGACTTTGGTAGCCAGCCGATAAGTGCAGCAACTAGAGAAGGCTAGCCTTCATAAGAAAAGAGAACCATGTAGTAAAGGAGGGATTGATGGTCTAGTGCAAATTCAAGGCTTGAAAAACTTTTAGGGCTGCCCTGTCGCAGAAGGAATAAAAACCTAAAAAAAACTGTTCAGAAACAGTGGTGGCTGCGCTACTGCCAGAGAGGTGGGTATTTCAAAAACAAGAGCCTTTTTTTGAAGGATAGATGCGATTCAAACAAGATACTGGCCCGGTACATTTCTCGTGATCGATTTCAATAAGCTTCAGAATAAGCTTGACATCACCTTTGAATGCAGCTTCGGAAGAAACAGCCGTAATTCCGGTCAGGCTCCTAACATGGCCCACGACCTACATATATTTTCGGATATTCTCAGCAACTCCGGATTTTTTTTTTGGTTTGGTTACGGTGCTTAATGGCTATGGTCTCTGAAGGAACACTTCAAATTATCGAGAAGACGACTTGTTCAGCGCTCAAGTCAGGCACGAACCATAGAAGCCTGTGGCAGATAATTTCTTGTAAGCGAAAGGTTTTACTTCCGTATAGGTTGTTTCCATATCTTGACACACTGGATGGACTTGTTATTTTTGGCCTTATGTAAACCTGCCTTATCCAAAAAAGGAAGAAGTGGCTCAAAATTTTTGTATTTCAAACTGAGCGACATATGTGGCTTTCCATGTATCGTTTCCAACGGAGAAAAAGGATTTCGCTCCTTGTTGCTGAGAGAGGCAACACAACAACGAAGGTTAACGTATGCTTCGCGTGATTTCGTAGAATTTGCTTATCTGGTACGAATGCTATTAAGCAAAAGTTCCTTCTGGGCATCGTTGTTGCGTAGCTGTACAAAGGAGCGAAAAGAATTCAAAAACATGTCTTTGGAATCACTGTGAAACAGGAATGACAGAACAGCCTTCAGGATTTTCTACGGATCAGAACACTTATATGGAAAAACGCAATACGCACCCCAGAAGTCGAACTTCGGCCTCATAATTGGCGAGCTTGCAACTGCTCCAGCGATTAGATTTTCATCCTTATATTTCTCTCGAGCCCATAGTGCTAGGGAACCTGAATCAGAGAAAGATTAAGGTTATAACTGAACTAACCACACTTAAGACTGGAAGATTTCAAAATGAAGTGTTCAAGTCTTTATAGAGCACTAGAAAACCATGGGTCGAAAATCCTACCATACACCTTGGATTTCTTTTCGCTCTATGACTTCGAGCTGTCTTTCGTCTTCTCCTATCCCCTTAATCAATCCCATTTATTTGTATACCCACTCGAATCGCCCGAGCTCCTCCTTTTTTCGCCAGAGCTGTAATGCCCTACAAACGCTTAGTACTCCTTCTTCTGATTAGAGGGAAACGATTAATGATCAGACGATTCCTCTAGATACGGACCTTTATTGATCGGTATCGATTTTTACCTATCAGTAGATACCGATCAGTATCAATCAATGTTCTTGCGGTACCTCCTCAACTCCTCTATAGTTCGAACGCTTCACCCGAAAGGGAGCTCAGCCGCGAGTACCAGGCCAACTGCACAACAAACCAATGCTTAAGGGAACTGACCGCTCTATATCGACTGCCTCACTTCCTTATAGTTCCTAATATTTTACATCTGAAGGAGATGAAGCTGCTGATACTGGTCACGTTCAGTTAACCACTGCCTTTCGAGACCCTGCCTTTTTCACGGTTTTAGAGGTGTCGAAAGCTAATGGCAATTTTTCCCATTTCGCGATCATCCGCCCACTTCGAGCGGAGGTCAGTTCAAGTCATGCAACTAAGTTTGCCTGTTCCCTACTTACTCTAATTTAGCTATGCTGTTTCACTCCATTTTCAGACATCCTTATAAAAAAGCGCAAACTTGTGTAAGTACGAATATTGAATAGGGACTGAGTACAACGCTTACCAGCATACGATCCGCCAAACACGATCCATTTGGCATCCTTGAGATTATGCTTTTTATTCATTGCTTTGATGAAAGTTTTGATATCCCCAATTGCCTGTTCAATGGTCAAATATTTGAGGTTCTTCACGGAAAGATCACTGAAATGATACCATTAGACTGTACGATTTGCGCAATCTCACTGCGCATCCCAATTTTTTCCCTTGCTTGAGCCCTGTTCGTATCATTCAGAATTGTGATAGCAGGGTCCAAAGGATGCTCAGCTTACTAGTTGGCAGTATTCTTAGGAAAAAGCAATGAGACTTAAGTTCCAATGCCATAGTCACCCGACCGGCGACCGAATGTCTTTGACCATTCGGGTAATTCGAAAGTGACCACGATGGCCCAGTGTATACATTCCAAATATTGGCATTAGACCACCTTCAGGCCTGTTCTTATCTTAGCTCTTACTTGGTTTATAAACTTGTTAAAAATCTGATTTTGTGTTCTGCACCCCACTTGGCCAAGAGCTTAAATAGAATGTCGCATCGAACGTTCACTACATCACTACGTCAACATTCATTTGAAGGGAATTGGGGAGATTCTGTGCCAACTCACTCTGTCGGACGACTCTTTCCATAGAAGCGATGCTCTAAAGCGAACATCATAGCTCCTCTCTCTTTTGCCATTTGTACGAATGGAATTTTCTCATTGGTCACCTGAAAAATCGGTTGACTATCTCTGAAAATACCCAGCTGTGCATATTTGGAGTACAAATGAAGAATATACTCCTCTGATTAGCTCTAAAGGGACTTTCTGTTGAGTTTCTTTTGCTTGTCTCCTTACAAGGAGAAGCTTTAACGCCCACGAAATACCCGCACGTTGGGTGGTGGTATAGTATACAGATTTTGAGGGGGGAATGAAGTAAAAAGTAGCTGCTTTTTCCGAGATGTTGCTTTTAATTGAAATTTAAGCCGTAAAATGTTCCTTGTTTCTCCATAGATTTTCTTGGGCTAAGAATGTTCATTGCTCGTCATTATTGTTTTTCTTTGAGTACACATGACTGAGCAATTTCCCCCCAAACTAACCACTTCTAGGCCTTACAATCAAGAAATTGCTCACCCATCCGATGTCCAGAACTCCCATTCCTCCCAGCATCAAGAAAGCGACATTCCCGCCTTTTCGGTAATATCGATTGTTGAAGAAGTAGCGCTGAAAGGTTCCATCTTCAAATCAAACATTCCAAAATGCTTATGAATTTTATCTTATTAAATTGGCTTGGGAGGAGTCGATTTATCCCGAGTGTATTCGCTTACTTGAGACCATTCCTTGACTTCTTGGGTATGATCGAGTTTTTGCTTCAAGTAAGCTTCTCTTCCACCGAATCCACCTTGACTCGCAAAACCCTTAAAATAAATTCTTAAAAATTGCTTATACACCCAGCTAATTTGTTTACGGGGTTGTAACAGATTCTATCAGCTCACGCTTTTGACTAGTAATGACTTTATTAGGCGAAAAGTCACTGGCTTCGAGGGCTGTACTCTATAGGCAAAGGACATCACATAATTTAGTTGCATCGGGTGAAGTTGGTATGGATGTGAGTCACTAATAGATGTAACCGTCACACTCACCGTAAGATTGAGCTCATTCTTAGCTGTCATAGGATGCCCAAGGTGGAGCATCGGCATCCATGAGCTCACCAGCCATACCTGTAAAACGTTAGAATAAAAAGTTGATAGTCATTTTTGTTAGAGTGCTATGACTCGGTATTGAAACTAGGATAAGGTTTTAACCACCACAAAATCTCATTTAGACCTTATAATAGGGGTATTCTTTCCAAGACTAAGTTCGCTTTGGAAAAATGGTCCTTGAGATGTTAAGCGCACTGTGCCGAGGAAGAGGAGCGATGTTGTCAGGGCTATGATAGAAAGGTTCGGTATTACCTAGGTAATTATTGCAAAAGTTAAGATTAATAAGAAACCGTCTAAGACGTACAGCACTCAACAAGGCATCACTTCTTAGGGCAGGGGGAATGAATCTCTCTATGTTTTCGCAAAAGGCAAGTTTTCTCTTTGGAAGGATAGCTTGCACTAATAAAGCAGAGGCCCTGACAAATCTGTTTATGTAACTGCTAAAACTTGTGAAAGTACAACTGGAATCTGCATGCAAGCCAAAGTTGTGAGCTGCAGTGGTTGTGATTATAGAAATAATCAAAAGAAATTACCTGCAGTACGGTTAGAAACAGAAATAAAAGGCTAGACATTGCCCCAGCAGAACCCAATCAAGGGAGTCTTGTTCTGGTGCTGCAGAGGAGTGCTAATGACACGAATCCGTAATGGAGAATGTCTTTTTATTGTCACTGATAACACTATTAGACTTATTAGCAATATTCCCCTCTCAAATGAAACATGACTGCCTAGATAAACTGAAAAACGGTGCCCGTTCACTTTCTGATTACTTCGGCATTCGCATGTTCTTTAGTGTTATTAAATAGCTTATCAATCCTTCACTGATGCTGGCTCTGCTACTTGGCATCGGAGGGTCTAACGAAAAGTGCTTTCTGTCGAGGGACTGGGGAGGTTCGATTAACCGGCTTGACCATCACAGTTCACTCACGAGGAACGGAGGCAGTCTTTGTGAGAGAGTGCTGTCCGAAAAACTGGGTCATCATAACTTTGCTACTCTATCTCTCTGGGTAGCAAAATCCGCCTCAGAGGTTACAGCTAGAACCGTTTCATCGAACGATGAGGAGGTTCATTCAACTGACCATCAGACAGTTGTGGATTCTGCCGTTAATTCTTACATGCCAGCGCACACGGGCAGAATCTCACTTTGATTTTGTGTAGGTGAAAGTACGGTAATGCCATCATTAGGTGGTAAGGGAATAGGTTCGTAGGAAAAGCCGGAGGGAAGAAAAGATCATATTCTGTAGAGAACTTTGGAGGGCTTATTGGGTAAACCAGCTCCGTGTTTCCCTTCAGTCTAAGGTCCTAAACAACATCGAATGACGTGCCTCATATGATGGATCGATAAATCAGGCAAAAAATAAACTTGCATATGTGCGTTTTAACATAACAGTGCTATCTTTGTTTGCAATTGGCTTCAGCTATGATAAGTAAACACGGAACAACTGTGCCGGCACTGGGTATGCAGTCAGCGTTCAGTGCTGCAGAACACTTCTCTGCATTTTTCTGCATCGAGTCATATGACCCGATTTCTTTGTTCGTCAATAAGCGGGTGGTAACACGATGACATTAATGTCTCAACAATTGCCGTCTGGTAATGATGAACAAATTGCGGCCGTCGTTCCCGTCATGGACTTCCACTTCTCCGCCGAAGAATGGAAGCAGTTTAGTTGCAAAGATTTCCCATTATTTGGCTGAAGAGGTCCCAGAAGAAGCACGGTCAAACTGCAGAATCCGACTGAAGCTCCGGTAGTCCCACAGAAATGACGGACCGTCTTCTGATTTGCTGCTAGAGAGCACAAGCGATCCCGTGTTAAATTCGTTCTGTAGCGCGCATGAGGATAGGGCTTTTTTTAGACAGACTAGGAACATGCGAACAGACTCTAAGTTTTTCTATCATAAGGGTTGACTTAATCAAGTTACACTTCAATAGGTCGTGATTTCCCTTCTGGATCATATACGGCAGGGCAAACTCCTCGATAGTTCTGAGACTTTGGTTCTGGTGTTTGACCAACCTCCGAGATTGTTAATAACACACTGGTGTAGATAATGAACACTCTACATGTGGCTGACGCTTCGGCTGATTTGCCCTCTTCAGAGCCTTTAGAGTCGGAAGCACGCGTGTGGCTCCCAGCTGTTCGTATTACACAAGCAATTTTTGAAGGGCCGAGAATCAAAAGCGATGAAGGTGACCTTGGAGTCTTTTGTCTACAACCCGAGCTTCAGTTCTTCACGAGAGAAACCCTCTTCGTGTTGAAACCCCGATGTCCCGTAGTAAACGAACATTCTGAGCCGTTGGATTTTAGGAGCGGTCAGAGCAACAATTATTGATGGGTAACAAGGCTACTGCATGAAAAACTTCTCTGTTCACTAGTGCCTACCTCTTCATGATCCCATAATCCACAAGTGTTTTGAACGGCGTTGGCCTTGTTGGACTTTCACAAAAAAAGGCATTTGCTGGACAAGAGTGAATGAGTACAATTGTTGCGGCTGGTTGTTCAACTAGGACTTGAATCCCTAGTGACTCAGTTCGTCTATTCCGATTCGACAAGGTTATCGTCCAGACAATATTCATTAAATCCCAGAAGACATTTTGATACAAAATGGAGTGATAGTTTTCTGGTATGAAAATGTTTATTGGAAGAATATCCGTGCTTCGGGAAAGGGATCGAATGAGTTGGTTGCCATAGTCCCTGCAAAAAAAATACATTCCTAGTTATGAAAACCATTTTGCAAAACGGTATATTAGTTTTCATAATTGAAAAATGTAATAGTAACTATACTGTCAAAATTATAGTCTCACCAGCTGAGTTGTCCTGGCATTACTGAATCTGGACATGAGAGTGCTTTAAAGAAATCTTCCCGATCACAAGAAACGGCAAGTTGGTGTCCATATTGTTTGGCGGTCTTTGTTCCTCGTCAGCTTTGTTGGAATTGTGTTGCCCTACCCATTCTCCAATGATTTTTTCAACCTTACTGCGTGTTTCAGTAAGTTGAGGTGAGTCTTCTTTCTGAGCAGGATACATATCTGCACAATGAGCAGCTCCTAAACAGTTGAGGAATAGTTTCTGCTCCAGCTTGGAGAAGCGCTTGAGCATTTAATAGGATTTTGTTTTATTGTTCTATTATGAATTCATTTCTTTGATGACGTGCGTAGTCTATTAAGAAGAAGAATGACGTGACCAGGAACAGGTCCAACCCTTACTGTCATGAAATGAACAAGCACAGAGAAATTCAAAGAGCGAACAACAAAAACAATCGATAAACAATACAACACTTAATCAGAGTGAGATCTACGACAATAGTGAAGTTGATTGTCATTGTTAGATCGCTAAAGGTGTACTGCCACCACTGATACAAAAATTGTCAATGCAGTGGATCGGGGTGGTGGAGGATTTTCTGTTCGACAGAACCACTGTAGCTCACATGCCATACTTAGATGCAGATGTTCCATTTTATGACCATTTTGCTCTGATCGGGACCTTGATGCCCAGGCAGTAGAATTGAATGCAATAGTTGACCGTCAGAGGGAAGAACGTTCAGTACAACATTGTGAATTTGCTTCGGCAGATGTTTTGATCGAGTTGGGGCTACTCTCTGGACTATCAAGAGCCCCATAAAATCAATGCATAATCTTCATCTGTGCAGGTCCTTCAGGGGCCAAGTAAAA